GCAAACGAAAATCATAGAATAAATTAGAAAGGAACTAGATTAAAATTGATAAGAACCTCAAAGTTTTGTGGAATTCGAATTCGATATATTTCCCTTAGGATTAGTTTTCCATGAATGATTTTGTACAATCAAAATTCAATCGTGAAAAATAATGTTTTCTACTGTAGCACAGCTGAAAAACTTATAAATAAAATAAGGTTTTTCACTACTAAGTCAAACTGGGTCAGAAACATAAACCAGACCCATAAAACGACCCGAAACAGATTATTTTCTAACGTTTGAAACTTCAACGAATTACTGGAACTTATGCAGGCTGAATCAGCTTTTGACTCCAACCTGAAAATTGTAGATCTTTCTCTTAGCTTTCTGACGAATATTAGAATGCGTCAATCCGATTCCCGAAGCTCCAATTATGATTTTTTTATTGAAAGCTGCTAATGCTGAAAATAAAATACGAAAATCAATTAAAGGTAAAAATAAACTAAATTATAAAAATACCATATAATAGAAAAATAAACAAAACAAACAATGAAAATGCCTAAGTACAAACATAAGAAAATGTGCATCAATATGCACTGATCACATGATAATTTGAGAACTTTAGAGATGAAGACGAGTGAAATTTTTTGAGCATCTAAAGTTTATACATAATGAATTGCAATTGAGTACCTTAGCATCAAGATCAATTTTAATTACTTCCAAAATTTGCATAAGTTTATGCATTCATGATTCTTGAATCTAAAATTTTTCTTCTTTGATATTTCTTTTTTATAAGGTTTTGTCTTCATAAAAATTAAACTAAGATATATGATGAACATCTTCTTCACAAACTTAAGTCTAGTTTGAGGGACTAAACTAAAGCCTCTCTTACGGACTCAACTAAAGTCCTGCCTGAGGGACTAAGGAACTTAACTTAGTCTTACATTAATGACTCAAATAAAGTGTCGCCTAAGGGACTCAACTAAAGTTTCACTTGAAGGACTAAACTAAAGTCTCACTTGAGGGACTCAACTTAATTTTCTCCTAAGGGGTTCACTTAAATTCTCACCTGAGGGACTTAACTTAAGTCTCGCTTGAGGGACTCAACTTAAGTATCACCTGAGGGACTCAACTTAAGTTTCCCCTAAGGGACTCAACTCAAGTCTCGCTTGAGCGACTCAACAAAAGTCTCGCTCAAGGGACTCAACTAAAGTCTTGCATGAGGGACTGAGGAACTCAACTTAAGTCTTACCTGAGGGACTCAAATAAAGTGGAATCTGAGGTACTTAACCAAAGTGTTTTCTTAGGGGATCAACTAAAGTCTCACTTGATGGACTTAACTAAAGTCTCTCCCGAGGGGCTCAACTTAAGTCTCGCCTGAGGGGCTCAAATAATGTTTTACATGAGGTACTCAACTTAAATCTCGCTTGATAGACTCAACTTAAGACTCACTTGAAGGACTTAACTTAAGTCTTACCTAAGGGACTTAACTAAAGTCTCTTATAAGAGTCTCAACTAAACTCTCGCCTGAGAGACTCAAATTAAGACTTTCTTGAGGGACTCTAATTAAGTCTTACATGAGGAACTCAAATAACGTCTTTCTTGAGTTGCTCCACTCAAGGCTCCATCAGGATGACCCTAAAGAAAGAAAACAAAACTAAATCACTTTGCCCTTTCTAAGACCTCAAGCTTGAGGGACTTTGAATTGATATATTCATGAAGCACCCATAAGGGAGGATGTAGGAGGAAAATGGTGTGATGCAATAACATCTTCCTGAAATTTTTAGATTGGTCACTCATTTACTAGTTGGAATTCCCCTTCCTCAAATATGCCACCCACTTCCTAGACAACTCACTTGGAGCGTGAGAAATTTGGGAAGTGACATGTCTCTAGCCCACAAAAGTGCGAAGAAGGAGTCATGGAAGTTATCCATTCTCTTGAATAGTAGGTGATTAACTACCCCCACTTTCCCACTCTTAGAAGCGGTTTTTATTTCCTAGGAGTCTAAAATCTAGGCCCAGGAAAGATATAAATATCCTTACCCTAGGGGTGAGAAAGGATAATCTAATATTTATACATATACTAGATACACAAATATATGCATCTCCCTACATGCGATAGCTCTAAACCCTACAACAAATCTTAAAAGCATCTGATAGACCTTGATCACGAGGGATTATCACGTATTATACTTTCACCAAGTATAATAATTTAAATAATATTCCAATGATACTGGTTAGTATTTTTGTAACATGCTAAAGTGAATGAGAGTTAATATTATGTTTTGGAAAAGATTATTGCCGATACTTTTCCTCTTGGTTGGCATTTCAAACCTATGGAATAGAGTTTTCCACTATGTTGGAAATTCCAACCAAAGGAATAACTGATTTTTTAAAATTAAAAAAAGGTTTAATATCCTTTTTGATCTCGTATGTTAATTTCAAATATCATTTTGTTCCCTTAATTTAATTTTTTTAATATTAATTCCTTAACTATTCAAAACTCACCATGTTAGTCTTTTTGTTTATTTAACAATCAATTTCTGAATTTGTATGTCGTTAATTAGATGAAAAAGACTAACATTGTACGTTTTTAAGAGTTAAGAGAGCAACATAAACTTTTTTAAGTTAAGAGAACAAAATACATGACCAAAAATTATGCAAACCTGTACCCATGTATGAGTAATCCAGGAGTCCGTCATTGCCCCTACTCAGGTTATACTGTCACACCCTCAGTAAGTTACAACTGTGCATCGCATCTAGAGACTTGCCCCGGTCACAACATGATGATTCAGAACATTCCTAAATGGAATTCCATGCATGACAAGTCTAGGAGTGACATTCACCTACGTGGCGTCACAACTCGTCCATCATCCAAACTTATGTGATTAATGGCCGGTGAAAAAACACTATCTTGATAACACGAGCCCACTGAGCGAAAGTCTAATGATCTTGCCTACATGGAACCATTAGAGTTGATTTTATCTGCACTGTGATATTGCCTATGTGGTATCACAACCCCACCATACCAAGCACACGATGCAACTAACTGTTGGTGGAACGCTGCACAAGCACCCACACAAGCACATCACAATGGTAGCTAAGGTGCTTGTGACATACCAAGCATGCAGATGTGATCACATCAAGTGTGGAAATGCCTTCTCATATCGGCTCACTGCTCCACATCGCAATGGTATAAATTGACATACAAGGTCTACGTCATGAATGATTTACGTCATAGTTGTCAAGCCTACTCTGATTCAATCATACATAAAACGTGATGTGTATCAAGCCATAAAAATCTGATTTAGAATGTCACTCTTATGAGGTCTCTACCAAACAAGACTTTATCTTATGTCATACTTTCTCATATACCCAAATTTTCCCTTTAACTAAGTGGCATTTACGAGTTTTCCATTATCCGAAGACAACAAGAGGCGGTTACCCTAGAGGTGTGAAGTGTGCAAAGGTGGTTCAGTTCAATTATATTATCTTGAATTAGGGTTTTCTAACGTCTTGTTTTAGTCTTTCCATACAAACCCTATTAGCATACATCTAACAATTATATATACAAGTATATAAGATATAAGTGTGAAAAGTAAAGCCCTAGGACAATTACATGGCTTCAGGACAATTACATTATTTAATAAAATCGTGTGAGAAATTAAACAATAAGCTATTTCAAAAAAACTCGTGTGACCTATACAATTCTTTCTAGGAATTTAAATGCAAAACATAAATAAAAGTATTAGAAAAAATGTTTTAAAATCCTAAAAATTCTAGGTGTTAAAAGATATTTTTGTATTTTTTAGAGATAATTATTGTGTTAATTAGCCTAATTCTAATTTAATTTACAAAATTAAAATAAAAGGGTGCCAATTTAAAAGAAATAAAATCATAAATTATAGTTGTTGGGATTCGAAGTGTGTCCCTTGTAGATTTTTTATCGATAGTCAAATAGAGGGAAACTTTTCAACAACAAGAACAATAACACAAAAAAAAAATAGAACTTGGTTTAGAAGAAATATAAAGTATTTTGTTAACGGAAAATGAAGTTTAGAGATAGAAGATAAGCTATGTTTAGAGCAAAAGTAAAAGAATGTATAGCTTTATAAATAAAATTGAATAACTTTTCCACTTGGTTGCTACAATTAATTGAGAGAAAAATATTTTATTTTTAATTTAAAAATAAAAATATATGAATGCATCATTTTATTATAATCAAAACACAAAATTGTCCAAATGGACTTTCCGCCTCAATTATCCCAATCGAAGGAACAAATGATTGAATTTTTAAATAAAAATTAAAATAAAAGAAGGGAGCCTAATAGAAAATATTTTATCCCGATTTATCATTTGACGGAAAAAATTCTAGTTAAAAATCTACTATTTATTGTAGTGATTTAACATATTTATTTAATATACTTAGAAAAACATGAACTAATCTTTCAAAATAGCAAAGAAAAACTCTTTTTATTTTTATTTTATTTTTTTGTCAAAACTATTTCGATCGCGACAAGACTTTGTTACGCTATGAAACACCCATATGGCTGCAAAAGATTGATATTGCACCATTATACACGCGGAATTTTGGAATTAATATATGAAAGAGTATATCACATGCAATATTTTTTTATAAACATTGTGATTTATACGGACCGCGACGGCTATAATTTATAATTCAATATATGTACCAATCGAAATCGTGAAAGCATTTACGCAACCACCGTTGTAAAATCTTGATTATGATAAAACTCCACAATATTTCTAGTTATTGTAAAGTGTAACTGGTTTTGCTAATTTTCATGAGAGATGACATTGAAATCAAATTTCATAGTAGATAGTGAATATTTTGAGACAGAACTTCAAAGATTTTATTTCAACTACTCTTAAAACTCATAATACATCTCTTCCTAGCGGGAATTAAGTTACAATTGAAGAAATTAAACCATCCTTTATTCTGTCTTGGTTATTACCAAACCAAATTTATTACTTATTCATCAACTGCAAGCCATGTAAACTCAGTGCATCCCATCCCCTAGCCTGCAATGAGTAAAGTGAAGTAAACATTAGGGTTCTTTATAAATATTTGATGCATGAAAAGTGTACCTTTTGAGAAACAAAGAAAATAAAAGTTTAAATATTTTTGCTCCCATTTGTAAAATTAAAGAGTGTTGATTTATAGAGATGTATGTACTTGTTGCAGTCCATATTGGCACCAATTGGGAAAGGTAATTTGACACCACACTTGTTGGGGAGACCCTGTACAGCATTAGGATCGAGTCCCGGTATGCTGATTAAAGTTGATTTGATGCACTCACAAGCATCTTTACGTTCAGGAAGTGTTTTGGCTTGGTCATTAACAGTCCAAACACCATTGCAACATACTACAGGGGCAATTGGTCCTGGGTTCCTAAGGTACCCAAGGCATGGTAATAAGGAACCTTTTATTTGACCACAAGTTTGACCAGCATTGGCTAACGGAATATCGAAAATCAAACATATCATAGCTAAGCAAGTAACCTTGATAAGTATTGAGCTAGCCATATGTGTGAGTAAGTGTGAAGTGATGAGTGTTATTATGACATAGAGTTGTAAGGGCTATTTATAGAGCTTCACCAAACCAGCAACATTCTACTTATTACAAAAAAATATATATAATATTAATAAAATATTAATTTTTTTGTTTGTATATATTAATGCACTTCATCCCAACTCACATAATTTATTTGTTAAATAATATTTTTTTTGTTTTTATATATTAATTTGTTTGTATATATCAAAACCAAACATATAAAGACTTTTTTATTAAATAAGATTAATTTTATTAATAAAATCAACACTATTAATTATTTTTAATAAACAAAAGTTGCAAATAACATAAATATGATACTTATAATGAGACAAAATAAATTATTTTTTAATATGACTATTTATATAGAAAAAAGATATTTAATTTTTTTTTACTTTATCATATTTTGAAGAGAATGGAAGAAATGGTCTACAGAGTAGTTTTACAGTCGTCTCTTTCGAAACTTCACAGTGTGTTTCATGTGTCTCAACTTTTGAAGTATGTTTTTGATCTGTCTTATGTGATTCAAATGGACGATGTTCAAGTGAGAGATAACTTAAATGTGAAGGCATCACCAATGTGTATTGATGATCGAGAAGTGAAACACTTTAGAGGTAAAGAGATCATGTTGGTGAAGGTAGTATGGGGAAGACCTACTAGAGGAAGCATGGCGTGGGAGCTAGAGAATCGGATGAGAGAATCTTATCCAGAGTCGTATAGTTCACATAATTTTTTAGGATGAAAATTCTTTAAGTGAGGGAGAATTGTAACGTCCCGAATTTTCAATTAATTATTTAATTGAATTTTTAATTTCTTTTATTTATTTATTTTGAGTGTTGATGAATTTGTAAAATTTATTCGCTAGTTATGGGATTTATGGGTATTTATTTAATTTAATTTAATTAAAATAATAGAATTATCTCAAATAGTGAGAAATTGGATGAAAATTAGAATTAATTAAAAAATGGGGTAAATGATGATAATTAGAAAGAAATTGGGGTCAAGGTGAAATAATTAAAATATTAAATTAGGTTTATTATTAAAAAGGGATTAGTGGAGCTTATTTGTGTCAGTATGTGAATTGAGAGAGAGCACTTGGGAGAAAGAGCAAGAACAAGGGTTAGCCAAATTTGGGTTACGTTTCCTCTCCGTTGATAAGGATCCTTGAGGGAAAATGTAACTTAATTTAATTTAAAAATCAAAATATAAAGGTAACACCATGTACATATACGTCTAGAATAATATGTACTGATGTTAAATATGGTACAAGAAACATAAAAATAGCTGAAAAAGACAAGAAATAAAAACCGCATACAATATAACTCCAACATTATAACGTATATGAATAATTTGTCTTCTACGATGCACATCGGAAAAGTGACGTCTACAAAGGTCTTCTTCTCATCTGCAGTCTTCAAAACTGACCATCTAGCAATTCTATTTCCTAAAACCTGTTCCTTAAAAATAATAAGATGAATGGGGTGAGATTACTAAATCTCAGTGAGTTCCCCTGTCTTATGGGTTCACTCGGTTCTATAGAGTGAATGCATCAAAACGGATTCACCGAGAATCTGGGGTTTATATCACTGCTAGGTACAAATACACAAATGAGAACATCTCTATTAGAAGTCCCTATACTTTCCAATGAGACTAACAAAAATATAGATAAATACAAACAAGTATGCAAACCTACACCCATTTTTGAGGAATCCAGGAGTCTGTCATTTCCCCTACTCAGATTACACTGTCACACTCTCGGTGAGTTACAACCGTTCATCGCATCTAGAGACTTGCCCCGGTCACAACATGATGATTCAGAACATTCCTAAATGTAATTCTATCCATGATAAGTCTAGGAGTGACTTTCACCTACGTGGCGTCACAACTCGTCCATCATCCAAACGCATGTGATTAACGGCCGGTGCAAAAATACGGTCTTGACAACACGAGCCTACTGGGAGAAAGCCTAATGATCTTGCCTACATGGAACCATTAGAGTTGATTTAAGCCGTGCTATGATATTGCCTATGTGGTATCGCAACCCCACCATACCAAGCACACGATGCAATTAACTGTTGGTGGAACACTGCGCAAGCACCCACACAAGTACATCACAATGGTAGCTAATGTGCTTGTGACATACCAAGCACGCAGATGTGATCACATCAAGTGTGGAAACGCCTTATCATATCGGCTCACTGCTCCACATCGCAATGGTATAAATTTACAGACAAGGTCAACGTCATGAGTGATTTACGTCATAGTTTTCAAGCCTACTCTAATTCAAGAATACATCAAAACACGATGTGTATCAAGCCATAAAAATCTGATTTAGAATGACACTCTTATGAGGTTTCTATCAAACAAGACTTTATCTTATGTCATACTTTCTCATATACCCAAATTTTCCCTTTAACTAAGTGGCATTTACAAGTTTTCCATTATCTGAAGACAACAAGAGGCGGTTACCCTAGAGGTGTGAAGTGTGCAAAGGTGGTTCGGTTCAATTATATTATCTTGAATTAGGGTTTTCTAACGTCTTGTTTTAGATCTTGCTGTACAAACCCTATTAGCATACATCTAACAATTATATATACAAGTATATAAGATATAAGTGTGAAAAGTAAAGCCCTAGGACTATTGCATGGCTTCAGGACAGTTACAATATTTAATAAAACCTTGCGAGAAATTAAACACTAAGCTATTACAAAAAAAACTCGTGCGACCTATACAATTGTTTCTAGGAATATAAATGCAAAAGATAAATAAAAGTATTAGAAAAAATGTTTTAAAATCCTAAAAATTATAGGTGTTAAAAGATATTTTTGTATTTTTAGAGATAAATTTTGTGTTAATTAGCCTAATTCTAATTTAATTTACAAAATTAAAATAAAAGGGTGCCAATTTAAAAGAAATAAAATCATAAATTATAGTTGTTGGGATTCGAAGTGTGTCCCTTGTGGATTTTTTATCGATAGTCAAATAGAGGGAAACTTTTCAACAACAAGAACAATAACACAAAAAGAAAAATAGAACTTGGTATAGAAGAAATATAAAGTATTTTGTTAACGGAAAATGAAGTTTAGAGATAGAAGATAAGCTATGTTTAGAGCAAAAGTAAAAGAATGTAGAGCTTTATAAATAAAATTGAATAACTTTTCCACTTGGTTGCTACAATTAATTGAAAGAAAAATATTTTATTTTTAATTTAAAAATAAAAATATATTAATGCATCATTTTATTATAATCAAAACACAAAATTGTCCAAATGGACTTTCCGCCTCAATTATCCCAATCGAAGGAACAAATGATTGAATTTTTAAATAAAAATTAAAATAAAAGAAGGGAGCCTAATAGAAAATATTTTATCCCGATTTATCATTTGACAGAAAAAATTCTAGTTAAAAATCTACTATTTATTGTAATGATTTAAAATATTTATTTAATATACTTATAAAAACATGAACTAATCTTTCAAAATAGCAAAGAAAAACTCTTTTTATTTTTATTTTATATTTTTTGCCAAAACTATTTTGATCGCGACAAAACTTTGTTACGCTATGAAACACCAATACGGCTGCAAAAGATTTATATTGCACCATTATACACGCGGAATTTTGGAATTAAAGTATGAAAGAATATATCACATGCAATATTTTTTTTATAAACATTGTGATTTATACGGACCGCGACGGCTACAATTTGTAATTCAATATATGTACCAATCGAAATCGTGAAAGCATTTACGCAACCACCGTTGTAAAATCTTGATTATGATAAAACTCCATAATATTTCTAGTTATTGTAAAGTGTAACTGGTTTATGCTAATTTTCATGAGAGATGACATTGAAATCAAATTTCATAGTAGATAGTGAATATTTTGAGACAGAACTTCAAAGGTTTTATTTCAACTACTCTTAAAACTCATAATACATCTCTTCCTAGCGGGAATTAAGTTACAATTGAAGAAATTAAATCATCCTTTATTCTGTCTTGGTTATTACCAAACCAAATTTATTACTTATTCATCAAGTGCAAACCATGTAAACTCAGTGCATCCCATCCCCTAACCTGCAATGAGTAAAGTGAAGTAAACATTAGGTTTATTTATAAATCTTTGATGCTTGAAAAGTGTACCTTTTGAGAAACAAAGAAAATAAAAGTTTAAATATTTTTGCTCTCATTTGTAAAATTAAAGAGTGTTGATTTATAGAGATGTATGTACTTGTTGCAATCCATATTGGCACCAATTGGGAAAGGTAATTTGACACCACACTTGTTGGGGAGACCCTGTACAGCATTAGGATCGAGTTCGGGTATGTTGATTAAAGTTGATTTGATGCACTCACAAGCATCTTTACGTTTAGGAAGAGTTTTGGCTTGGTCATTAACAGTCCTAACACAAATGCAACATACTACAGGGGCAATTGATCTTGGGTGCCTAAGGTACCCAAGGCATGGTAATAAGGAACCTTTTATTTGACCACAAGTTTGACCAGCATTGGCTAAGGGAATACCGAGAACCAAACATATCATAGCTAAGCAAGTAACCTTGATAAGTATTGAGCTAGCATATGTGTGAGTAAGTGTAGAGTGATGAGTGTTATTATGACATAGAGTTGTAAGGGCTATTTATAGAGCATCACCAAACCAGCAACATTCTACTTATTTTATATATATATATATATATATATATATATATATATATATATATATATATATATATATATATATATATATATATATATATATATATATATATATATATATATATATTAATTTTTGTACTTGTATATATTAATGCACTTCATCCCAACTCACATAATTAATTTGTTAAATAATATTTTTTTTGTTTGTATATATTAATTGGTTTATATATATCAAAACCAAACATATAAAGACTTTTTTATTAAATGAGATTAATTTTATTCATAAAATCAACACTATTAATTATTTTCAAGAAAAAAAAGTTGC